GGCCTTGCAGGTCCACCGCCGGGCCCCTGATGTCAGGGGGTGTGGCATATGCTAATGAGTTATGCTAATGAGTTCCCCTAGCTCTTTTTCTACGAAATGACCCCTGGTCCCAGGTTAATACTGTTGTGCAGGGCTCTTTTTGTAGAAAAAGCCTAGCACGAACTCATTAGCATAATAGGCCACACTCAACAGCAGGAACTCATTAGCATATTGGGCCGCACCCCTGACAGCACAGCTCATTAGCACATTCGGCCGCACTCCCATGTTACCAGAAGTGTGGTCATCCAGCCACACCCACCTTTTGCTTGTTATTCTGTTTACCTTGATTGTTGTCAAAACCCAGGGCCTTTTTTTGTAGCAGGAACTCCTTTGCATGTTAGGCCACACACCCCTAATGTAGCCAATCCTCATAAGTTTCTGCTGTTGGGTGTGGCCTATTATGCTAATGAGTTCCTGCTGGGCATGGCCAACTTGGGAGCCAGCCGGAACTCCGTTCCTGTGCGTTCCTGCCCAAAAATAGCCCTGCTGTTGTGCCTGTTGGGGAAATCTAAGTGTATCCCTGGTGAGACGTGAGTTTCCCCAAACAGGACCCCCTGGGGACTGCTTCAGGTTGGGAAAATGGCGCAGAGGGGAAGCTGAAGCCCCTTCTTTCATGTGTGATCAAAATTGGGCACTGCACATGGAGAAATTGGGGGAAAAAACATGCAACCTCACCTATGATTCTGTTCAACTGTCTGACACAGGGTGGGGGAACCCAGACCCAACCTCTGCACCAGTGTTCCCTCTAAGCCGAGTTAGTGTGAGCAAGCTCACGGTTTTTTAGCCTCCGGCTCACACGTTTTTGTCTCCGCTCAGGAAGGAGGGCTCCAGAGCAAGCTAATTGATGCAGCAGCCAAATCGCTCGCTCACAACTTTAATGCCAGGAGCTCACAAAGCAGAATTTTAGCTCACAAGACTCCACGGCTTAGAGGGAGCATTGCTCTGCATTCTGTAATGTGTCATGGTAACTGTTCCAGAGGGAGAGCCCTGCTAGCTTGAGCATAGCTAAAACAAGGAGGGGGGGGAGAGAACCATTCTGGTTGTGCTGCCTTTTCAGTCTCCCTTTCCTCTGCACTGACATGTTGGTGTCTGTGGCAGCTGACAACATGGGCTCATGCCTATGAAATCTCCTGCCACCGTAAACAACTTCTTCAGCTGTGTGAAAGCTTATGCCAGAATAAATTGTTGCTTGTCTTTTAAGGTGGCACAAGATTCCTGTTTATTTTTGCTGTGGCAGAGCTAATATGGCTCCCCACCATAAGTTAATAAAATGGTTCCTCCTCAGGGTTCTGCACAGTTTTGCTAGGCCGTGTATTGTGTTCACATGCAGAGGCCGCACCATACCTTTGCTAATGCAGAGCCTGTGTTTTTCAGAGAGCCTCAAGGTGATGCCAGCCTACTATTCCACGGTCCTCTATGTTCTGCTGGCCGTAGGATGCTGGCGAGATGAAGCTGCAGGACTGGGCTGTCACCTGCACTGTAAGCGCACCAAGGTCTGGGGGGAAGAGGAAGATCTCATAGGGGCCTGAGCTGAGAAATGGGGTGTGACTGGCCAGCTGGGACATACTTCCTCAGTATTATGCCTATTGCGGGAGATGGAACACAGGAGTCACAAAAGCTCATAGCCTGCCACATATTTTGTCAAGTCTTTAAGGTGCTACCAGACTCTTGCTCTTTTCTACTGCTTAAGGTAAAGGTTCCCTTGCTCGAAAGCCAGTCGAATCCGACTCTAGGGTTGCGGTGCTCATCTCTGTTTCAAAGCCGAAGAGCCAACGCTGTTCGAAGACTTTTCCGTGGTCATGTGGCCGGCATGACTAAACACCAAGGCGCACGGAACGCATATTACTTTCCCACTGAAGTGGTACCTATTTATCAACTTGCAATTTCTTGCTTTCGAACTGCTAGGTTGGCAGGAGCTGGAACTGCTACAGACAGACTAACACGGCTACCCATCTTGATCTAAAAGGAGTCCTAGAGGGCACACTAAATATAAATATTCCGGGTTCTTAATCCATACAAGCATTAGAAGAGCCTTGCTGAATCAGACCAGTGGTCCAGTTAGTCCAGTATGTTCTACACAACAGGCAACTAGTTGCCCCGGAGAGCCAGCAAACAGGGCATAGAGGCCAAGGCCTTCCCATGAAGCTACCCCCTAGCACTGACCGAAAACTCTGAACGTTTGCTGCCTCTGAATACGGAAGTTTCCCTTTAGTCACTGTGTCTAGTGGACCACTGATGGACCGTGAATCTGTTGAAACCCTTTTTAAAGCCATTTGTGCTTATCCCCATCACTACATACACTGGCAGTGAATTCCACTCCCCCCCCCAGATTAACTATGTTTATGTGAATTCCACAATTTAATCACTCACTGAGTAAAGAAAACCAAAATAGGGTTGCCAGGTTGCCGGCTCCCCCCGTGCGGCCGGCGGCGGGGGGGGGGGGGAGACTTACTGGTAAGAAAATGAGGCCTAAGCTTGGGTTGCCACTGCAGTGTTCCCTCTAAGCTGAGTCAGTGTGAGCTAGCTCACAGTTTTTTAGCCTCCGGCTCACACATTTTTGTCTTCGCTCAGGAGGGATGGCTCCAGAGCAAATTAATGTATGCAGTGGCCGAATCGCTCACTCACAACTTTAATGCCAGCAGCTCACAAAGTAGAATTTTTGCTCACAGGGCTCCACAGCTTAGAGGGAGCATAGGTTGCCAGTGAATTGATGATGATGTCACTTCAGAGGTGGGTACTGGAAGTGACCGCTGCTTTGCCACCGATGCAGGCATAGGCCTAGTTTTCCTGCCTGTAAGTTCCCCCACTGGCCAGCGAATCAATGCTGAGGGGAGGGGCCCTGGAGTGGGAGACCCCCCCCTTACCCTACCCCACCCCTGACTAGCCTACAGTGAAACCATATAATACCAACTAGGACCAACCAAAATGACACAAAGCAGTGTGCAAGCTTTCATGTCCTCCAGAACTCCTCACACCTTTCTGGATGGACTTTGGGTGGTTTTTTTGTATTTTACCGTGAGAACAAAGGAATGGAGATGGACTGAATGCAACTCCCCAGAGGAGAAGCCTCTGACTCTACATTGCAGCAATAAAGTGAAGCCCTCAGCCTGCTGGCATCTCATGAAGGAAGCCAGCCAGCCAGCCAGCCAGCATGGCCAGACCTTGCATCATGATGGCCTGAAAAATTCGCTTTCCACACTTCTGTCTTTTAATATCTTATAACACCTAAGCCTGATTAAAAGTGCTGGTGGTCTTGAAAGCTTGCACAGTGTTTTATGTCAGTTTGGTTGATCCTAATAAAAGGTCTGACATGGATTTAATCAGGGCTTTTTTTGTAGAAAAAGCCCAGCAGGAACTCATTAGCATAACAGGCCACACCCAACAGCTGAACTCATTAGCATACTAGGCCACACCCTGCCACCACAAGTCATTAGCATATTAGGCCACAACCCCGTGTTGCCAGAAGTGTGGTCATCCAGCCACACCCACCTTTTGCTTCTTATTCTGTTTACCTTGTTTGTTGTCAAAACCCAGGGCCTTTTTTTTTGTAGCAGGGACTCCTTTGCATGTTAGGCAACACACGCCTACTGTAGCCAATCCTAATGAGTTTCTGCTGTTGGGTGTGGCCTATTATGCTAATGAGTTCCTGCTGCGTCTGGCCAACTCAGGAGCCAGCCAGACCTCCCTTCCTGTGCGTTCCTGCCCAAAAATAGCCCTGGATTTAATTCACAATTTTGGATTTTGAATGAGCCAATACGGCTGTACAACTTTTAACACATGGCTTGTTTGCCCCAGTTTGGAGGATGATATAGAAAGTGAGGTTCTTTTCTGCTTCTCTGCAGCGCTGTAGTGCTTCTGTGTGCATCCCAAGTTTATTTATTTATTAGATTTGTATCCCACCCTCCCCAGATGAGCTCAGGGCGGCTCCCCATCTTTCCTGAATGTGCTTTTCTGTGATGTTTGGGGAAAGATCGCAGCAAAGCCAAAGTGGCACCTTCCTAGTCCTTCCCACATTGGTGCCATTAGCAGGTATTCTTCAATGACATGGAGAGCTTTTTTGTTTTTGTAAACTGGCAACTGAATAGCATTGTAGTGTTATAACATTACAGCAACCCGTCTATGTGATCTGCTCAAATCCAGCTTTGCTTTTTAAAAAAGCAAGTCTCTCTAGACCCTTTTATTATTGCAGAGATATGCTTTCCCGCATCTATCTCCCCAACAAAAAGGACTAGTGACTTACTTTTAAAAAATGAAAGCTAGAAGAAGAAGAGTTGGTTTTTATACCTCGTTTTTCTCTACCTTAAGGAGTCTCAAAGCAGTTTATAATCACCTTTGCCTTCCTCTCCTCACAACGGTCATCTTGTGAGGTAGGTGGGACTGAGAGAGTTCTGAGAGAACTGTGACTGCTCCACAGTCACCCAGCAAGGCTTCATGTGGAGGAGTGGGGATTTCAAACATGTTTCTCCAGATTAGAGTCTGCTGCTCTTAACTACTACACCATGCTGGAACTCAGGGAATCTGAGACACAGAATGTTTCAACGGGTTGAAATTAAATCAGAAGAGTTTTTGGCTAAACATTAGGAAGAACTTTCTGACAGAGCGGTTCCTCAGTGGAACAGGCTTCCTCGGGAAGTGGTGGGCTCTCCTTCTTTGGAGGTTTTCAAACAGAGGCTAGATGGCCATCTGACAGCAATGTGGATTCTGTGAACTTAGGCAGATCACGAGAGGGAGGGCAGGAAGGGTTGCCTCAGTGCTTAGTTCTTGTGGCCCTTTTTACACGCCCAGGGAAATGCTGATTGCCACTTCGAGGTCAAGAAGCAATCCTGGAGGGTTTTTTTTTTTGTCATCTTCTGGGTGTGGAACAGCAGTCACTGAGGGTGTGGTTGTTGTTGTTCAGTCGCACAGTCGAGTCCAACTCTTCGCGACCCCATGGACAAGATCACGCCAGGCCCTCCTGTCTTCCACCGTCCTCTGAAGCCCGCTCAATTTCATGTTCGTTGCATCCATGACACTGTCCAACCATCTCATCCTTTGCCGTCCCCATCTTCTTTGACCTTCAATGTTTCCCAGCATTAGGGTCTTCTCCAGTGAGTGCTCCCATCTCATTTGGTGGCCAAAGTATTTGAGCTTCAGTTTCATTATCTGGCCTTCCAGGGAACAGTCAGGGTTGTGGAGGGGGAGGTATTTGTGAATTTCCTGCATTGTGCAGGGGGTTGGACTAGATGACCCTGGAGGTACCTTCCACCTCTATGATTCTGTGATTCTATGAACATTATAAAGTTATAAAGATATTCAGTTGCTGGTCTCTCTAACATCAGATGGGAGGCACAGATCCCATAGAAGGTTGAGAGCAGTGGAAGGTTATGGTAGTCTTTATGGACTACTGCATGCAGAAGCAATTGTCAGGATTTATTTTTTTCAGAAGGCCTGGAAAAAAAAAATAGGTTGTTTTCTGGATAGCCAAAGGACACTAATCAAGACAACATCTTACCTCAGCCTGCATGCAAGACTGCCCTACTGCTCTGGCACCCTGCCCAGACAATTCAGTAGTTGTGGGGGAGGGAGGAAGAGGACAGTTTACAGCAGCAGGAGACAATTCCAAAGCCTGCTGTCGATCAATTGTAGAGCAGCCTGCAAACACCCCCCCCCCCCCCCGCCGGCTGTATTTGGAGAACTATTCTCATTGTTTTTAAAAATATCTCTTAGTAATTATAGCAATGTTAAGAAGACTGGTCAGTCTCCGTTCCTCCTTCCCCTTTAAGAAGAAAAATCACAGATTTCTGCTTTTGGCATGCCTGCTTAGCACATAGACCCATGCAACCGTTTGTCACATGAGTCACTGAGAATACAGCACAAGTGAGTTGGCTGGTGAAACGTACATGTGCTCTTGAAGAATAACTGCATGTGATTTGAACTGGGGGGGGGGGGAGACTCCTATCTCTTTTCAATGGCTGTTCAGTCTACCTTCTCATGAACCAGTCTTCACTAGGCACTCTGACCTTGTATGGTACAGGTAGTTAGAGTGTTGGACCAGGAATTGGGAGACACAGGTTCAGATCTCCACTACCATGGAAGCTTGCTGGGTACCTTTGAGCCAGTCACACACTCTCAGCCTAACTTCCCTCACACAATTGCTGTGAGGGTAAAATGGAAGAGAGGTGAACCATGTAAGCTGCTTTGAATCCCCTTTGGGTAGAAAGGTGGGATATCTCTCCTTATATATAATTGAATAGTGGGTGCCAAAGTTCTAATTCTAAAATGCACTCCCTTAGTGTATGGCTGATGGCACTGCTCCTCAGCATATATCACCACCAATCAGAAGGCAAAGCACGGGTCCCGCCCACACCACAACTGCTGCGACAACCTGGTCTTTTGCATATGGAAGCTGATTGGACTTCAGTCCATTCCACACCTCAAACTCCCCCCCCCGCAAGGCAGTTGGAATTTTCAGTTGCATAACATACCTCATAGGGGAGAGGAGAATGGGTAACAATGGTTACCACTCTCCAGGTGAGGGCTACAGATAACTCAAACATACAAATGCTCTTCAGGTAGCAGAGATCAGTCCCTCTGGAGAAAACAGTGGACTCTGTCATTAAACCCTGCTGAGGTTGCCACAGGAAACTGACACTGTTTGCCCAAAGCCAGAGCACTCTCCCAGAGCCTCTTTCTAGATCTCGTTGTATTTATTTCCGCAACGGGCATTATTTCTAGTAATGAAATAAATGAGAAAAGGGCCCAGGAGCTTTACTTTCATATTTGGGGCCAGGATTCATAGAATCATAGAATCACAATCATACAAGTTTTTTTCAGCAGGTCTTGAGTAGTAGCTCGTTGCTGCTCTCATAGACGGCTTCCTTTCTTCCATGCCAGCTTTCAATGTGACCATTAAGAGTGACCACCGGGGCAGCTGCCAGGGCACCCACGTGATCCAGGCCTGTGTGGGCTACTGCGAGTCAAGCGCCTTCCCCTCCAAATACTCCGTCCTCCTGGCCAGCAACTTCAAGCACATCACTACCTCAGTGTCCCAGTGCTGCACCATCACCAAGATGCAAAAGGTGAGAGGCATTGTGCAGTTAGAGATGCTGTCCTCTAGGGGGAGACCTAGAGACCTCCCAGAATTACAACAGATGTCCAGGCTGCAGAGATCAGTTCCCCTGGAGAAAACTGGCTGCTTTGGAGGGTGGACTCTTGGGCAACATACCCTGCCAAGGTCCGTCCCCCCCCCGCTCCACTCCCAAATCTCCAGGAATTTCCCAACCCAGAACTGGCATTTGGCAAACCTATGCACAGTTCTCAGAGTCCCTTCGAGGGCCAAAGATCTGCCCCATAAGCCATGAAGCTCACTGGACATAGCGCTGCCAGCTCTGGGTGGGGGAATATACTTGGAGATTATGAAGGGTGGAGCCCAGTGTTCCCTCTAAGCTGAGTTAGTGTGAGCTAGCTCACAGTTTTTTAGCCTCCAGCTCACACATTTTTGCCTTAGGTCAGGAAGGAGGGCCCCAGAGCAAACTAATGTATGCAGCAGCCAAATTGTTTGCTCACAGCTTTAATGCCAGTAGCTCACAAAGTAGAATTTTTGCTCACAAGACTCTGCAGCTTAGAGGGGACATTGGTGGAGCCTAGAAATGGACCTCAGCAGGGTACAATGCCATAGAGTCCACCCTCCAAAGCAGCCATGTTCTCCAGGGGAACTGATCCGTGTCAGCTGGAGAGCAGTCGTAAAAGCAGGAGATCTCCAGGCCCCACCTGGAGGTTGGACAACCTTGGTCAAATAGATCCTTCTGTCTCAGACCAACCTACCTCCCAGGGTTGTTATGAAGATAAAAGGAAGAGAGAATGTGGTATACCTGTCCACCCTGAACTCCTCAGAGGAAGTAGGGTTGCCAGGTCTGGGTTGGAAAATACCTGGAGACTTTGGGGGTGGAGCCAGGAGAGGGTGGGGTTTGGGGAGGGGAGGAGCCTCAGCATCGTACAAGGCCACAGAGTCTACCCTTCAACGCAGCCATTTTCTCCAGGGGAGCCAAACAGGGAGGAATGCAGCTTGCTTCCAGGTTGATGTTTTGGTACAATAATTTTATTTGTGCATTTTAAGTCTGTTCTACATACCAGTTGCCCTTCCGTATGAGTCCAGTGACAAGCAATGGGTAGTTAGTGACTGGCATCCATTCACCAACCGGAAAGGAGCTTTTTCTAACCAAATTGCTCATAGCTTTTGTGTTAGAAAATCACAGACTGGGTTACTGATATCATAGATGCACACCCCATCCCATCATGCCAGCCATTTACATAAGAGAAGCCAATGTTGGATCAGGCCAATGGCCCATCTAGTCCAACACTCTGTCACACAGTGGCCAAAAATACCAGGTGCCATCAGGAGGTCCAGCAGTGGGGCCAGAACACTAGAAGCCCTCCCACTGTTGCCCCCTCCCCACAAGCACCAAGAATACAGAGCATCACTTGCCCCAGCCTGAGAGTTCCTATCTATACCTTGTGGCTAATAGCCACCGATGGACTTCTGCTCCATATGCTTATCTAATTCCCTTTTGAAGCTGTCCATGCTTGTAGCCGCCACCACCTCCTGTGGCAGTGAATTCCATGTGTTAACTCTTTGGGTGAAGAAGTACTACCTTTTATCCGTTCTAACCCGACTGCTCAGCAATTTCATGGAGTGCCCATGAGTTCTTGTATTGTGAGAAAGGGAGAAAAGTACTTCTTTCTCAACCTGCTCTATCCCATGCATAATCTTATAAACCTCAATCATGTCACCCCTCAGCCGTTGTTTCTCCAAGCTAAAGAGCCCCAAGCGTTTTAACCTTTCTTCATAGGGAAAGTGTTCCAACCCTTTTATCATTCGTGGCCCTTTTCTGCACTTTTTCCAATGCCATCATTTCCATTTCTTCCCCTCTGAATGGCAGCAGCTTGGTAATAGGCTGGGGCAATGGCCTCATGGCTTGTGATCATGCACGACTGGGCCCACCTGCCAAGCCTGGCAACCTAAATAGCACCATTTATGAAAACTTCCCTCAGAATCAACATGATTGCTTCCACACAGGTATTTTGCCTTGGTTTCCTTACAGAAGCACCGCTTTTCTGAAGCATCCACATGATGTAGTCCTCTATTAGTCCTGGCTTCTGTGTTTTTTACTGGGAACTTTCAAAACCTGGCTTTTTCTTTTCTGAAAGATCATGGTTAGAATGCATTTGGACACCACATAGATGGGATGGTGGGGGCTTTTGCATGACCTGCACTCAACAACACAATTTTCCATGACACAGCCCTGTCCCAATAGAGGGCTGTTTACAGGCTCTTTTAAATTATATATTTAATATGCATGCAATTTATTTGGGGGGGGGGAGTCAAAAGCTCTTCAGTGGCATAGGTAGGCATCATGGGGAGCTGAGTCAAGGAAAGTGCAGGGGAAATCATGGTAGAGGAGCTCTACTGCTGCCATTCACAGCCACAACAGGAGCTCCCCGTTGCTGTGTGAAAGCAAACCAAAGTAGGGGTGGGTGGGCCACAGAAAGTCGGGTGGTGGTGAAGGAGGAATTCAAACCACGTTGAACATTTCCCTAATCAGGTGTGGTTTGTAATGCATTCAGCATGCAGATAGTGCTTTGAGAGAAGGAGCTGGGAAGAAAGGCAAATCTTTCAGGCCCAGACATAAAGCTTTTGAGGTGGCAATTAGGCACTGATTGCATTACGGAGGAGACCCGGGAAGACACAGAGAGGCAGAGCTGGGGGATCTTCACATGGCTGCTTAAAGAACAAAGAGGAAGCCAACAAGATCAGAAACAAACTGCGAGGAAAGCAGAGGATCAAATGACCAGTTTGATAGTGAACACCTAGCACAGAGGCCATATTAGGACACATATTCCTTGCACACCCAGCACTACTGAAGATGGTCTGGTTTGGGAAGTCTTCCATCTAACTTCCAACTTATCCTCATGTCTGAGTGCAAGTTTGTTGCTTCCCACTAAACTGGGATCCAAAACTATGATCCCAGTTTATGGAAAAGAAATCCAATCTACCCACGTCTTTAGACAACACTGCAAATGGGAGTTTTAAAGACTTTCTGATTTCTGAAGTCTTTGGTCAGTTGTGCCGAGTGCACCAGGGAAGGAAGAACTGTGCAAGCCAAAACCAGCAATTATCTTCTTTTGTATTTGAGCCATCTTTGTTGTACACTTTTCACTTTTTAAGTAAACAAGTTAACATTATGTGTATACAAACGATAGGAATATGGGAAACAGGTAATAGTAATGTAGGCATAGAAGGCCATTTTGTCTCAGTATAAACTAATCTAAAGGTAAAGGTAAAGGTTCCCTTGCTCGAAAGCCAGTCAAATCCGACTCTAGGGTTGCGGTGCTCATCTCCATTTCAAAGCCGAAGAGCCAGCGCTGTCCGAAGACGTTTCCGAGGTCATGTGGCCGGCATGACTAAACGCCAAGGCGCACGGAACGCTGTTACCTTCCCACCGAAGTGGTACCTATTTATCTACTTGCAATTTCTTGCTTTCGAACTGCTAGGTTGGCAGGAGCTGGAACTAGAGTCGGGAGCTCACTCCGTCATGCGGCACCCGGGTCTCAAACTGCTGAACTACTGCCCTTCCACAGCCTGCAGTTCAGCGTCTTAACCACTTGAGCCACCGCAGCTCCTAAACTAATCTACTGTTAGGTTAACTCCCATTTTGTGATATTTGTGGGGGACGGTCACAGGGAGGAGGGTTTCCCATTGCTTGCAGAAATATATCAGGAAACAGGTCAAGTGCAAGGAGGCACCTGAAGTGCAGTGTACTGGTCAGAGCATCAAGACTAGTATCTGGGAGACTTAGGTCCAAATCTCCACCCTCCCATGGAAACTTGTGCTGGGCGACCTTGGGCCAGCCACACAAACACAGCTTAACCCACAAGGTTGCTGTGTGAGGATAAAACAGAAGAGGAGAACAATGAAAGTTGCTTTAAGTCCCATTGGCAAGGGCTCTTTTTGTAGAAAAAGCCTAGCAGGAACTCATTAGCATAATAGGCCACACCCAACAGCAGGAACTCATTAGCATATTGGGCCACAACCCTGACAGCCCAGCTTATTAGCACATTAGGCCACACCCCCATGCTACCAGAAGTGTGGTCATCCAGCCACACCCACCTTTTGCTTGTTATTCTGTTTACCTTGTTTGTTGTCAAAACCCAGGGCCTTTTTTTGTAGAAGGAACTCCTTTGCATGTCAGGCCACACACCCCTAATGTAACCAATCCTAATGAGTTTCTGCTGTTGGGTGTGGCCTATTATGCTAATGAGTTCCTTCTGGGCGTGGCCAGCTCGGGAGCCAGCCGGAACTCCGTTCCTGTGCGTTCCTGCCCAAAAACAGCCCTGCGGAAGAAAAGTAGGATGTAAGTGAAGAAAAAAAACAATGTATGGATTTGCCAGTGCTAATACTGGAAAAACGAAAAGAGGATACCTGTAAAGAAGAAAAGCATGCACATCTGAGCACCAAGTGAGGAACTGAAAGTATCTAGCGCTATCAGCTCTGAGACGGGAGCATTTTAGAGGAGCAAGGCTTTACAGCGGTGGCAACTCTTTGGGGGTTTACTTGCTATGGGGGCAGAAAGTTGTCAGGCCTGTACAGAAAGGGTAGGGAGGGAAGGAGGGCTTCCAAAAAGAGGGCCAAATTGCATGTTGTGATCTCTTCTCCCCTCCCCCCTCTTTTCCCCTGCAGATTAAGGTGCGACTGCATTGCGGAGCCAGCAGGCGTGAGTCTATGGAGCTCTTCACAGCTAAGACCTGTCAGTGTGACATGTGTCGTCTCTCCAGATACTAGGGTGGGGGTGTGTGCAAGAAGAAACATGCAAATTGCTTCCTCTTTCCCAACTAGCAACCTTTTCTACAGCAGAGAGGGGCCAGCTGTCAGGTCTCCCCCCCCCCACCCCACCCAGCTTGAAATAGCTGCTGAATTCAAGTCCCTTAGAACAGACCCACTTAGTTATTGGATTACTCCCTTCTCTTAAACTGCTTCCCCTTCTCTGCACTCGTGAACTAAGCTTGCTGGGAAAGACACTGCTGGCCAGATCCACCAGATGACCACACCCTGTACATATGACGTATAATTTCAAATGGGAGGTTTTTAGCTTCAGAATATAAACCATTAATTATCCACGAAGAGACAAAGAGTTCAAAAACACTCCTTAGAGACTAGCCTGAGGGAAGTGTTTTAAACTGGTCAAGAATGTCAGCCTGGTTAACTGTAGAGCCCAAGACATTTTTCAGAGGAACTGGATTCAGAGGTAGTTTGTTATTGGAACTGGATTCAGAGGTAGTTTGTTATTGGACATAAAGTGGCATAATAAGCTGCCAAAAAGTGCAAAGTAGGCCAGGCTTTCAAGAGCTGAGGCTTTGAAGATCTTGAAGAGCTGTGACCCATTTTATTCACACATGTATGCAGCATGCTGGAAAGAGCAGTCAGCTCAGAGAAACACAGTAGAAACCCAGGAGGCACCTAGAATGATATAATTGGAAGGGACCATACAGGCCATCTAGTCCAACCCACTGCTCAGTGCAGATCAGCTGCCCTAGAGCATCCCTGACAAGGATTTATCCAGTTGCTGCTTGAAGACCACCAGTGAGGGGGAGCTCACCACCTCCCTAGGCAGCCAGTTCCACTGCTGAACTAGTCTTACTGTAAAAATAAAAAAATTCCTAATATCCAGCTGATACCCATTATTGCAAGTCCTATTTGCTGCCGCCAACAGGAACAGCTCCCTGCCCTCCTCTCTAGGTGACAGCTTTTCAAATACTTTTAAGAGGTCAATCGTGTCCCCCTGTTCAGCCTCCTCTTCTCCAGACTGAACAGCCCCAAGAGTCCCTCAGGCCCCTGACCGTCCTTGCCTCCAGAACTGCTCACAGTACTCCAGGTGTGGCCTGACCAATGTAGTGCACAGCAGGACGATGACATCTCGCAATAGGGATGTTACGCCTCTCAGTTTTGAACTCATTTTGCTTTTTCTTCACAGATGTATTCCCACAGCTCTTTCCACAAAAGATTTTGTTTCCCCTTCCAACTGAAAGAGGCTCCTTTCCAGCGATAGCCCTGTCAGGGCAGCTGCCTCAAGCAGTGGGGGCACCATATGGGACCCCAGGGCACAAACTGAGGCAGATTATTGCAAGTAATGGCAAAGCACTCACCCCACTAAAGGGCTAACAACCCAAACCGTGTTTTTCTGAATATATAATGCATGCAGAGTGGGGCAACTCAGGTTTGCCACTCGCAATGCTTACGGCGAGGGGCCTTCCACAAAAGTTCCGGAAGCAGTACAACATTAAAGGTAAAGGTAAAGGTTCCCTTGCTCGAAAGCCAGTCGAGTCCGACTCTAGGGTTGCGGTGCTCATCTCCGTTTCAAAGCCGAAGAGCCAGCGCTGTCCGAAGACGTTTCCGTGGTCATGTGGCCGGCATGACTAAACACCAAGGCTGTTACCTTCCCACCGAAGTGGTACCTATTTATCTACTTGCAGTTTCTTGCTTTCGAACTGCTAGGTTGGCAGGAGCTGGAACTAGAGACGGGAGCTCACTCCGTCATGCGGCACCCGGGTCTCGAACTGCTGAACTACTGACCTTCCATATCCTGCAGTTCAGCATCTTAACCACTTGAGCCACTGCAGCTCCTATAAGTACATTACTCACTCAAAATTAAGTCCACCATTCCTAAAAAAGCCGTCATGCCCCATCTTTCAGGAGGCTGATCTCCCTTTCCCAAAGGCCGTTTTACATTATCCACCCTAAAGCAGGTATAGGCTTCAGGTTTGGAAATTCCCTCAGAATCAACATGCCACAAGTCCTCCACTCTTATTTGTGCAACAAACTGGAGAGTCATTTCCTCACCCAATGAGCTGTTCCCCAAAGCTACTTGACGAGACAAGAGAATCGGTTGTGACATGAAACTTTTTATCTTTATTGAATACAGACTCGTCCAGCAAAAGGAAAACAAGGGCAAGGGGGGGGGGAGGGGCTCATGGTAGCGTAATAAATAGACTTCCCCCCACCCCCAACCAAAATAGCTCTCTCCTGCAGCCCCCCACCCCCCACCCCTGGGCCTCAAGGCCTCCTCCTGTGGAAACTACGCCCGTGAGGCATCAGCTAAAAAGACTACAGAAAGGTGCACCTGGTCTCTACAGTCGCCAATCGGCTTCAGTGTTTTGACTAAAAAATAAAACTGTAATACACGCAACCCACCCACCCCATCCCACCCGAAAGAACCACCCCTGTGACTATTCCTTGATACAGAGAACATTTGAAGTCGTCATGCCTAGTGAGGAGGGGAGAGGGAAGCATTCACCTCCCCCCCCCCCCCCCCAAATAGATTTTGTGGGGGAGGGGGGAGGAGGGGAAAGAACTAATGTCATAAACCAAAGATGTAAAACTGTGGCCCTGCAGTCCTTAGGTTGTCGATGCTGCAGTCCATTGTCAACACCGAACTGTGTTTCTAGAGAGTCTCGGAGGTTCCCCCCTTTCCCTTCGAGATGGGCAGAGAATATGCTAACACCTGAGAGAATCGTGAGCAACCGAGCCCCACCCCCCCTTTCCCACTCCCCAAGATGGTACAGAGTCTAGTGCTTCTCCACCCCTCCCTTATTCAAATACCAGAGGGACCAGCAGAACCATCCCAGTTTCTCCCTGTGCAACAACCAGCTCTTCTAAAGTGCAGGAATTTGAGCACCCCTCTCTCCTTTCTCTCTGCGCCCTCCCCCCTCCAAATCTCTAACCATGGCTAAAAAAACCAAGCCCAGTGGAAGCAGGGAGGAAGGGTGTGTGTGAGAAGAGAATAAATGCTACACTCCCTCTAAGGGCAGTGAATGTCCAAGCAAAAGTGCAGCTAAGTTCAGAGTCAAACACACACGCACGCACGCGCAACCACACGCCCGACCACAGGATGCCAAAAAAGTGAGGGGGGGAAACCAACAAAATGAGTTGGGAGCGGGTGGAATCCCTTTCATTCCCAAATGCCGAAGAGGAGAGGCAGCTGCCACGCCCCCTAAGCTCTAGATACAGGAGGGCAAAGTCCCCCCCACCTCCCCTCCCCACAATAGCATGCAGAGGCCCAGGTTTACACACACACACTCAACCATACACTTCTCTCATCCCTACTGTGGTGGGACCCCCCCCCCCCCCCCCCCCCCCCCCCTTCTGTCATGCCAAGGAATATTAACATGGTTCCTCATCTCTTCTTCCTCCGCGGGTGAGGGGGAGACGAAAGCAAGGCCGCATCTTCCATTTACGGGGCGCTACCCTGTCGACGGCATTGTGGAAGAGGAGTGAGACTTCACCTCATGAAGGAGAGAGGCAACGCCTAGGGCAGGAAAGCCCATGGAGTCCCCCCCACACACCACTAGGGTGTCAAAAAACAATTCTCCCCACTGCATTAAGCCTCTGGCCACTGGAACCCCACTCAGGAGATGAACTTTGGATCAGGAGGTCTATTGCTTTCTATTGCCATGGGAACCGTGCTCCCCTCCCCACCTTGGTGTTAGGGGAGCTCCCTTAACACTCGGCCTACACACTGGTCCCAAGCCTGTTTATAGTGGGCAATAACAGCCTCACCCCAGTATAGCTCCCCCATCATCTGATAACATTCTTCTCCACATGCAACCTCCACCCTCCAGCCCCCATCTTCGGGGGGGGGGGACACCAAGGACAGCAACAGAGACCCTCCAATTCTTCTCCCCTCCCCGATACAGCTGTGCACTTGCCCAAACATCACAGACTCGAGTGTAGAGTGGGGGCCTCGACAATCCCTGCAGGGCACTGGGGAAGGGGGGCATGCCCACCAACAGGGAGGGCAGAGGGCATGAACTCTGTTTTGGCACAGGCCTGGTGAGTGGGGGGTCAGCTGTATCGAATGGGGACTGCACCAGTGTGTGTGTGTGTCGCTCCCATGCCACAGCAGGGGGGATTCCCAGGGGAGAGGGGCCTCCTAGCTCGCCTCCCCCCTCTGCACAGCCAAGCTGTGCTGCAGGTTCAGGCGGTTCATCTTGGCCTCCTCCAGTCCTTGCAGCTTCCGCAGCTGGAGCTCGTCCAGTTGCCGCCACAGCTCCTGCCGCTCCTTCTCCTTCTTCAGTTCCCTTTGGGAAAGACAGGGAAGGGGGAGGCAGGGTGAGAGGGGGGGAAGGCAGGCTCTCCTTCGGCCCCCGGGCCAGCTGCTGCAGTGCAACAAGATGGCTGACAGGAAGGAGCCCTAGAAAAACCCCATCACAAAGACTTAGGCAGCTGCTGCACAAGGACCATTCTCCACTTTGTCCGGAATGCAATGATGCTTCTGCATGGGGATGGCAAGTTTCCCCGAGCTTTGCCCTTCCATCTTCCCCACCCAGCCCTATCTCCAGTGCTGGGGTTTTGGGTTTTTTTTTGCCTTTTTTGTAATTGGTAGTAGGTGCAGTGGTGGAAATGCCATCGAGTTGCAGCCGATTTATGACAACCCTTGTAGAGCATATTCAAGGCAAGAAATGAACAGAGGTGGGTTTCGCCACTGCTTGCCTCTAAGGCACAGCCCTGGCCCTTCCTTGGCGGTCTCCCATCCAAGCACTAACCAGGGCTGACCCCTGCTTAGCTTCCAAGACCTGAGGAGATCAGGCTGGGCTGGGCCATCTAGGTCAGGGTAGTAGCAGGTATGTAGGTATTTACTCTGGAATTTTATACCCCCTACTGATAATTTTTTTTAAAGTCCAGAAGCTCGCCAGCAATGGAGGAGGGGAGGGAACGGTACCAAATGTGGGCAAGGGGGTGTAGAAATCCCATTACCTTCCTGTCCACACTTTCCCCAAACCTATTTTCAGGACAATCTTGCAGGACATTAACCGGCAGCAGAGCTGGGGGAAACCCAAGTGGTCAGCAGAAACATGACAACACCCTGCGGAAGCCGAAACAAAAGCCACAGCCATTTGGGGCTGTGGTGGGGAAAGACAAAGAATAGGGGTGGCCAAACTGCAGCTCGGGAGCCGCACGCAGCTCTTTCACACAGTCTAATTTAATATGTTAATAAAAAGCAAATCTGCATATTTTTCAATAAAAGTGTGTGTGTAATATTTGTTTATATCTTGCGGCTCTCAAACATCTGACGTTTATTCTGCGTGGCTGTTAGGTTTAGCCAGGGGTCGTTTCATAGAAAAAAAGCTAGGGGAACTCCTTAGCATAACTCCTTAGCATATGCCACACCCCCTGACATCACCAGAAGTGTGTCATAAGGCCACACCCCCTGAAATCACCGGAAGTGTGTCATAAGGCCACACACCCCGCCCCCAACGGTCCCGGCCGCTGCCGCCGGCCTTGCAGCTCCACTGCCAAGCCCCATGAGGGGCCCGGCGGTGGACCTGCAAGGCTGGCGGGAGTGCAAGGAAGCCCCGTGAAGGCCCTCCCTGGCCCCAGGCAGGCAGGGGTGGGGAGAGACAGGGAGGAAGCAACTTACCCTCCCTCTTCTCCTGCCTCCTCCTGGCTGAATGAGGGCCGGAAGCAGGGCAGCCGGAAGCAGGGGGTGGGGCTTCGTCATGTGCCCCGCCCCCCGTACCTCACCCGGGGGAACTGCGATACCCCCAAAATGACCTCTGGGTTTGGCAAGTTTGGCCACCCCTGACATAGAGCAAGAGCTGTGTACAGCAGCGACTTAAGCATGTGACCAATGGTGTCATCTCATGGAGCCCAGTAATGCCAATGACCCCTTTCTCTCCTTGGCTAAATTTCTCCACCGCGGGGGGGGGGACGGGACACATTCAAAATACACTCCAGCCTGCATGGCTTTTGTTTGGGAAAGAAGACGCCAGATACCCAGAACTTGCTTCTGGTGTGGGGAAGGCCACCAGTGCAGACACTGAAACAAGTGGTTCAGTTTCTTCCCCCCGGGACCCCACACACTTACTGCTGTTTCTCCACCTTGTAGGAAGCCGTGAGCTCATCAAAGAGTTTCCCATTCATCTCCATGAAGGTCTTGAGGACATTGTAGACCAAAGAAACAATGGTCCTAAGGGAAACCGGAGAGTGACACAGAGATTTGCTACACTGCCTCCGCCCCCACCCACCACCAAACTCAACAGATATCCAACCCCTTACAGGAAGCTGAAAGGCCCCTGGCTCCCATTTCATGCAAGGAAGTAAGGCAGGGGTTCCCGACATGGTGCCCGCCAACACCTTTCCTGGCACCTGCCAAGTGTTTTTAGAGCCAGGTGGGGCTTTTGCCCAGTAAGGCTTCTGACCGAGCACTGGAGATTTGATTGGATCTGCAGATTTTAAAATATGTTGCTTTGGCAGCAGCTGCCACCACGGCACAAGGATCCTCCCTGTGTGACTGAAGGTACACTGTGGCAGCCATCTTGTGACTGGCTCTGCCTCCTGTGGCAGCCATTTTGTGGCTGTGCCCACAACACTGTATCAGAATTCCAAATGTGCCCACAGGCTCGAAAGGTTGGGGGGGTCCATGGAGTATAGTCTCTCCTTCCCAGGGGTGTTTTTGAGTATCTCAGCACTGCCCACCACCGCCTGCCACATGCGTCTCCCAACCCACGCGTGCGCTCACGGGTTCCAGTGCTCCTTGGAGACGCGATAGAGTGTCCCAAAGATGGTGGGCAGCACCGTGTTGCAGTTATCCTCCACCAGGCTCAGGATGTATTCGTTGTTCCAGAAATACAGAGCCCGCTCTGCAACCTGCAGGGGACAAAGCGAGGGTCACAGTGCACAGGGAGGGAGGGAGAAGGAGGGAAAGGGAATTCCCCCCCCCCCCAGGCATGTCAGGAGGCCAACTGAAAAGGCAAGGCAAACTGAGTTGAACGCCAACAATTAAAACTAATGTCTATCCATTTTATTATATATATTTAATTTCACATGGTTTTTAAATTTTTTACAGCAATTCCATTCTGGTCCACTTTGTATCGATGCTGTATAATTACATTGTATTATGCATTGCGCTATAAGCCAATTTGTTCCTCATTGTGTTTGACCTTCAAAGAAGGCCCTAACAGGCCGAAACGCATCAGGTCAAGTCCATTGCCTCTTGTGTATGTATCATTTTTTAATTTTTACATGAGGTGTGATTGGGCCCCTATGTGTTTTTTAATCCTTTTACATATTATTTATCCATCTAGTTTTAATTGTTGGCCCTCTACTCAGTTTGACTTACCTTTTCAGGTTCTTGATCCTGGTTTTCAGGGTTAAGTCCTTTGTTTAAAGGAGGGCCTTTGTTTAAAGGAGGCCGACTGACCCACAACTGACCCCTCAACTCAGCACTGCAACTGAACCAACTCGGGTCCTTCCCCTTCCCTGCCAAGGTCACCTGGAAGTGAGGGCTGGCGATACAGCAAGCCACCTGCTTGAAGAGCGGCTCCTGAATCTTCACAAACTGTGAGGGTTCGATGACATCTAGGATCTCTTCTATCTCTCCCAGGAACATCACCTGGAGGAAAGGGGGAGGAATTATTTTTTTTTGCTCACAATTTCTTGCTCCCCTGACTCGGAAGCGGATTTACAAAATGTTAAAAATCAACACAATAAATCAGCATAATGCATACAATACGGAAGTAGAACTAGAATGTAAAGAGGAGAAAGAACTGGATTGTAAAGATGAGAAACAATGCAACGGAAGACTACGATACATAAAATAATGCAGTAAAAATGGATTACAAAGATGAGGAAACAATGCAACCCCAACCCTTCACTACCCAAAGGAGTCTCAGAGCAGGTTACAATCTCCTTTCCCCTCCTTTCCCCACAACAAACACCCTGTGAGGTGGGTGGGGCTGAGAGCGGTCTCTCGAGAACTGCCCTTGAGAGAACAGCTCTGAAAGAACTTATGACTCACCCAAGGTCACACCAGAAGCTGTACGTGGAAGAGTGGGGAATCAAATCCGGTTGTCCCAGATTAGAGTTCGTGCTCTGAATCACTACACCAAACTGGCTAGTTTGTACAGGATAGTACATCTAACAAATGAAGCAGTAAGGATGTGCTGTGGGGGGAACTGCCTTCAGATCTTCGATACACAATTAAAATGGCAGCCCTCTTCCCAACGATAAAAATGGCCCCCTGAACAACTCAATTTTATTATAACCCTGTTTTCTAGAGAAAAATGTTGATCTGACCAATTCTTTCGGGGGGGGGGGGTATTATAAATATTAAAGTTTACAAACGACACATAATCATTAATGTCTATATCCAGCTCCAAGAAAAAACCCTGAAAGAAGTTCTATCCATGGCAATTATTAAATGTTCAGAAAAGAGCGATATTAAATTGTCCTAGCAAGTTTCAGTTGTGACTCAGAATTGCTGTTTGGGTAATCTCTTTTGGTTTGAGTCCAAGGACCATCTTTGAATAAAAAGAACCTGTGGAAACATTTTTCCCTTGTTTCACCTGCTTACAGACTGGTATTTTATCAAAAATTATAGCTAGCCAACACTTTCTAAGCCATGTATCAGTAGGTGGCAGATTAGTTTGCCTCTATTGTTTTACAATCAGAAGTCTTGTTGATGATCATATTCTCAAAATGTATTCTCCAAATGTTCCCAAAATATTTCTATGTCTTTTTTCCTAACACTTTTTCCAATCAAATCATGGAAAAATGCTCCTGACTAGTTTTATACCCCTACGACACTATTCCTTATATAAACCCCCCCCCCCCACTGGACACAAAAGAATGAGTGATGGGGGGATCAGGCGAGGACAGGAGTACAACAGTGTCAAATGAAGATTGACCCATCCATTTTTACCCCACTTGTTCCTTTAAATCAGGGCCATACATGTCTCTATGGATAGATGGGGAGCCAAAATGGCCCTGGAAAAGCCCCTTTGCCCCTAAGAGAAGGAAGGGAAGAGGGAAGAAAGAAGAACAGGTGTATAGTGGCTCCACCTGCCACGTGTGGGGTAGAGGCGGTGAGGTTGCGGCAGCATCTTGCTCCTGCCTTGAAGTGGCAGCGGCTGTCTCACCGGGGGGGGCAGCTCTTGCCTGCTTGCAGCAGCTCCTGACCCAACCTCATCCAGGGATGCCCTGGGGGACTTTTCCCAGGGGCCTTGACAGCCAATCTGGCCCTGCATGGTTCTCTCACAATTTGATCTCCACAACAGTTTTGGAGATCAGGCTGAGACATTGTGACTGGTCCCAGGTCACCCAGCAAGATTCCATGAACCCTGGCTTCCTGGATCCTAGTACAACACTGTAACCGCTACACCACACTGGGACAACCCTGCTGATGCTTCTTTTCGACTCTCCTAGTCTCTCCCCCCCCACCTCCACACTGTCCATCTCTACCTCCTTTTGCGTGCAGGTCTTTGGCCAGTATTTCAACAGTCCACGGATCACCTGGTGCAGCAGGGGAAGAGAAAACAGAAAACAGAATGCAGGACATTAGAAAGAGGAGGAGGAGATTGGATTTCTACCCCGCCCTTCACTACCCAAGGGAGTCTCAGAGCGGCTTACAAACTCCTTTCCCTTCCCCTCCCCACAACAGAAACCCTGTGAGGTAGGTGGGGCTGAGAGAATTCTGACAGAGACTGCTCTTTTTCAAGAACAGCTGTGCCAGAGCTTGTGACTGACCCAAGGTCACATCAGCAGGTGCAAGTGATATGCTGGTATCACCCAAGGCCTTCGCCTTTAAAAGCTGTTAACAGCTAGACCTTTTCCTGGAAGCTCAGCCCCCTTTCCCTTACAAATAGGGAGACTCCCAATCCGGCATGCTCTGAATGCATCGATGCATTCAGCCATTTACATGTGTTACCTCCAGCCTGCCCTGACCTGGGTGGCCCAGGCTAGCCCAACCTTGGCAGATCCTGGAAGCTAAGCAGGGTCGGCCCTGGTTAGAACTTGGATGGGAGACCGCTGAAGGAGTCCAGGGTTGCTAAGCAGAGGCGGGCAATGGCAAACCACCTCTTAACATCTCTTGCCTTCAAAATCCTCTGAGGTTGCCATAACTCAGCTGTGATTTGAAATCACTTTCCACCACCCCCAGCCTCCACCCCGCCTCACTATTTCCCAACGAAACTTGCACAACCCACTTGGGTCAACAACTCACGTGCTCTGTCAGCATGGCATCCTTTTCCAGGAACTGGACCACACAGTAAGCCAGCTGCAAGAGACAGCAGAGTGAGGGATTGAGAGATCGGAGACAGCCACAGCCAAGCGCCACCGTTCCTATGGTGGCTGTCCACCCTCCCCGTCCCCTCCCTTGGACTGGAATTCCAGGCTCTGTAGAATCTCAAACAATGCTCCCCTTCCAACAAAGCCCCATCAGCATCCTGGAATTTAATGTCATTTTATTTAAATTTAGATATTTATACCCCGCTTCCCCCCCACTACTAGTGATCCAAAGCAGCTTTTGGTAGCATCATTCTTGTATTTTAAAAATATCCTAACAAACATCTTGCGAGGTAGGTTAGGCTGACCGAGAGAATGCAACTGGGCCAAGGTCACCCAGCAAGTGGGGATTTGAACTGGGTCTTGCAGGTCCTAGCTGGACTCTCTAACTAGTACACAACACTGCCAATTAGCTCCTTTTGGGGGCTCTCACCTGGGCGTGGAATATGGAGAGGGATTTCACTGAGTGAAGTGGGATGAGGACTCGTACCAGGAACTGCTTGTGTTCCGTCTTCAAGGGCAGGGCAAAGCCATTGATGATGCTGAACAGAGGTGGGAACAGACATAGGTTAACACTGAAAAGGGGGGAGGAGGAGGAGGAGACTGGATTTATACCCTGCCCTTCACTCAGAGCGGCTTACAAACTCCTTTCCCTTTCCCTCCCCACAACAGACACCCTGTGAGGTGGGTGGGGCTGAGAGAGCTCTGACAGAAACTGCTCTTTTTCAAGAACAGCTGTGCCAGAACTATGGCTTGCCCAAGGTCATCCAGCCAGGTGCAAGTGGAGGAGTGGGGAATCAAACCCGGTTCTCCCAGATTAGAGTCCGTGCACTTAACCACTACACCAAACTGGCTGAGAGACGCTGGCCCCTACCTGGTAAGTGAATCCCATCCTGCGGCTCTTGATGCACAGAAGCAAGGAGCTAGGAATTCTACCTCCAATATTTGCTAGGGGACATGAAAATACCAAAGAATCCCATCCCCCCAATCCTTCACTCAACCTTGGACTTGAAGGGCAGCATATTGTTTCTCTTGTGTCCACCACCACCACCTTGAAGCAAGCATATTGTATCTCATTTGTCCACCACCACCACCTGGACTTAAGATGCCTCACCACCAATGTTCCCTCTAAGCCGTGGAGTCTTGTGAGCAAAAATCCCACTTTGTGAGCGACTGGCATCAAAGTTGTGAGCGAGCGACTTGGCTACTGCATAAATTAGGTTACTCTGGAGCCCTCCTTCATGAGCTAAGACAAAAATGTGTGAGCCGGAGGCTAAAAAACTGTGAGCTAGCTCACACTAACTCAGCTTAGAGGGAACACTGCTCACCACCCTGCCCTTTTTATCCCACCCCCCTACCCACCCCCGGCTAGGAAGAAACACAGTACATGCACAGACTGAGGAAAAAGTGAGGGTAGGAAGAGACAGGAATTGCAGCACACAACTGCATGAGGAAACAACGGAAAGGCATTTCTGATCAAGCGCATTGAAGGCACAGTCTCTGGCAGTTACCTCCCCAGGATCTCCAGCAGTTCCGCCACACCATTGAAATGCTCTGTCTCGTAGATAAACCTGGCCGGGAAGAAGAGAACAGGGACTCTCATAACAGTCTTCTTTGCACTGGAAATCACAGATCTGACTTTATCACATCCATGTCCACCTTCCAGCAATGTCCTCCCGCATCCTAGCTGGCTTTGGTAGCCTGGCTATTTTTGCACCATTGTGTATTTCCCTTTGTAATATACCAAGCTGGTCCCCATAAGAGAGGGCACAGGAAGAGGGGCAGCCAGCATGGTTCTTTCCCTCCGTACTTCGTGTCTGATAGAATGAACACATGGAAAAGATGGACTCTGAGAAGTCTCCAAAGCTCCTTGACAAGTCACCCAAATGACTTCCTTGCAAGGAACCATCGAAGAGGAGATATGGACGCCCAGCTAGGAAATGAGAACAGGATGAGCTAATCCTGCCCTCTAGTGGGCACCAGGTAGCATTACAGTTAAACAGGCTCAATCCCACCAGTGGTACTCTCAGAGGGTTAATAATTAAAATTCAGGCTGGCAGATTCAACAGACACAGGGAAATTCTCCTTCACTTAAATGACACCTAGCCCTGCGTGTGGAATCTGCTGTTAGAGGATGTGAAAATGGCCACTAATTTAGTTGGCTTTAAAAGGGATTAGACAGAAAGAGAGGCCTCCTGTGGCTCTCAGCATGATGATTAAATGGAACCTCCATGCTTAGAGGCAAAATTCCGTGCTGGGAGACAAAAACAGGAGGCAGTTTTGGCTTCTGTGCCCAGCATGTAGGCCATCTAAGGGGCTATGAGGCTAGGCCACAGTGTGAAAAACAGGAAGCTGGACTAGATAGACCACTGGTATGATGTGGGATGGCTGCATTTATGTCTTTACAGCAATGAGATGGCTTTTGGAACAGAAATAGTATGGAGTGCAGCTGACATCTGAGCTACTGATTCTAACTCCCTCGTCCTCCCGACCGGTGGGATTGGAGGAGTACAGTGGAAGAAGAGCTCACCGCAAGAAAATGTTGTTGCACTGCTTGCGGATGTAGGCTCGCAGGCCCAGGAACTTGCCATAGACACGGTGGAGGATGGTCTTGAGGTATTCACGCTCACGGGGGTCCTCGCTGTCAAAGAGCTCAAGCAGCTGGAGGGAAGCAGAGACGGTCAGGAGAGAAAACAGGGGAGGGGCTCCGTGGCTCAGTTGCAAAGCTTTGCATGCAAAAGGTCCCAGTTTCAATCTCAGGAATCTCCAGTTCAGGATCACGTCACAGGTGACACGGAAGACATCTGTCTGAGACTCTGAAGAGCCGTTGCCAGTTCAGAGTGGACAAGGCTGACTTCGAAAGACTAAAAGTCTGGCTCAGTACAAGACAGTTTTGATGTGCTCTTGCTTGCTGTCTCGAACACAAGGCTCTCTGGGGCTCAAGCAGAACTCTCTCTCATCACTTACCACCGGACCTTTTAACCCCAGATGCTGGAGTGATTAAACCAGGGGCCTACAAAGCAGATGCTCTACCACTGAGGCACAGACCCTCCCGGGACCACCCCCTCAAGTTAACCTTAGGGAGAACAGGGACAAGCCAGTCTTTCAGCGATGCCCACCCAACACTATTCTAGGAGGAACGTTATTCATTTAAAATATCTTTTTCCCCACCTGCTAACTCAGATGCTTTAAAGGCAATGTATGGTAGGTTTTAAAGACATTCAACAATGACACACAAAAGAATGAATGAAACAGTTTTACCTGTTGGGTTAACTTTCCACTGAAGCATTCTACGCCCTGACCTGAATGGCCCAGGCTACCCCAATCTCATTATTTCTCAAAAGCTAAGCAAGGTTGGCCCCTGGCTAGCATTTGGATGGGAGACCACCAAGAAGGGCAGGGCTGCTCCACGGAACCAGGCAACAGCAAACCACCTCCATTTGTCTCTTGCCTTAGAAACCCTCTGGGGTCACCATATGTTGGCTGTAACTTGATGGCACCTCCCCCAAAGCATTCTATAGCAAGGCAACAGATCAAAGATGCCTTTTCCTTAGCCATGATCTCACCAGCCTTCCACAGGCTTCTGCCTAAACGCTCTGCAGAACCACAACTGGCAGGTCAGAAATGTTAAAAACAAAACAACAACTAGAAGAGTCCTTTCCTTGGGAACCAAGTGCCAGGAGCAAAAGGTATAACCACTGAGAAAACTCTGTTAGAAAAGTGAAGGAATATGCAGTGATTAGCACTTGGAATTCACTGCCACAGGAAGTGGTGGCGGCTACAAGCATGGAGGGCTTCAAAAGCGAATTAGATAAGCATACGGAGCAGAGGTCCATCAGTGGCTATTAGCCTCAAGGTATAGATAGGGGCTCTGGGGCAAGTGATGCTCTGTCTTCTTGGAGCTTGGGGGGGGGTCAACAGTGGGAGGGCTTCTAATGTCCTGGCCCCACTGGTGGACCTCCTGATGGCACTGGTATTTCTGGCCGCTGTGTGACACAGAGTGTTGGACTGGATGGGCCTTTGGCCTGATCCACCATTGGCATCTCTTATGTTCTTATGTTCAGTGTCCCCTGCCTCAGTCTTCAGGAGGTCACCATAGATTTAGTCAGACAAACAGGTCAGGACACACACAGCATCCCTTTCCTTCCTGTTATCTGATCCTACCCCTTCTGAAGTAGAATGCTATTCTTAGGGATGAGTTTCCTTCCTTCCGGCTTGACACCTCTCTCACACACGCACTTCCTCTCTCACGCACACAAAGAAGAAGCACGTTTTCTCCCCATCTTTGAACAATGGATGCAGGGGCACCCTTCCCTGCATCCATACCCATCCTAGGTAGTTAGAATAGATTCTGTCCCTGTCTCTCATCTATACTGTCCCTGTCTCTCATCTATACAGGGAGCGGTGGCGCAGGCGATTAAATGCCTGCTGGTAACAGCTGCGAACAGCTGCTACAGCTGTTCGAAACCCACCACGGCCAAAGTGAGCGCCTGGCCCTAGTCCCAGCTCCCGCCCACCCAGCAGTTCGAAAGCAAAAATAACATTGAGAAAAGTGAGTAGATAAATGGGTACCCGCCCTAGGAGGTGGGGGGCACCCTCCCCGTTGTGGGGTCTGATGGAGCATCGGCGGCGAGTAGCGACGGCAGAACGACGAGCGGCGGTGGCGACGAGTGCAGTGGTGATGCGTGGCGGCAAGGAGGCGCAACACCAGCGGTGGATCGGACGTTGGCGGAAGGCGGAGCCAGAAGATGCAAAGGACGTAGAGGCGCGGCGGAGCCAAAATGGACAGAGCCGAAGCCGCGCTGACGCGAACCGCGCACCAGATGGACCCGCTGAATACAGCCGACGCCGAAGACCACCGGAAGGAAAAGAAGAGGAGCCAAAACCGAAAACCAAGCCGACAATAAGCCGAACCGGGGGAAAAAAGAACAGCAAGTCCCTCCACTGGGTGCTGGTAGGGCAGTCCCCACCCCTGACTATATGTGGCCATAGATAGGGATAAAGAGTAACTGTAAGCCGCTCAGAGACCCCTTGGGGGGTTCGAGCGGGATACAAGCTGAAAGTATAAATACTGTCTAGAATGGAGTTCCATCTAATAAAGAACTCTTATCCGTTTTAAATCCGACTACTGGTTCTATGTAACTCCGTAAATCTGCTAGCACACTCAGTACCAAAGCTCTGCTGCATGGAAATGCCTAGTGCATTCTGCTATGTTAATAGTGATTCCTGGCTCTACTAAAACCAGAGAATCCAATAAACTCCGTTCCATGTAGCCACCTACCCTGCTTCCGAAAGCACAGGGCTCCTGAAGAAGGCCCATTGCACAGGGCCTAGTTAGCAACTTGGCCGCCACATTCTGGACCTGCTGGGATTTCTAGACCCTTGAGAAGGAATTACATAATTCATCTGAAAAACTTCCAGAGCATGAATCATGACATTCCGTCTCTTAGGTGAGGGCATAGCTGGGTGAATCAGCCAAAGCTAGTTAAAAGTGCCCCTGGCACAGATGGTAACTGATCAAGCAGCAGCACGAGGAGGCCCAAAATAACCAATGCAAACCTCATCTTCCCAAAGCAGCCTGACCCTGTCAAGAACAGTCCCAGCTTATCCAAGCCAAACTACAGAACCCACCATCAGCAATTCCGCTTCATCTGAAGCTTTCGTTTGTTTAGTCTCATTCAAACCCATCACTGATACCAAGCCCTGCTTCAAGGCATCCATGGACCTCAGCTGCGTTCAAACCAAAGGAAAAGCAGAGTTGACACCAAATCCTCACACAGCTGGGCTCTTAACAAATCAAGGTCACAAGGCCTGACCCTTGTAAGAAAGAAAAGGGGCTCTTGTGCACGGGCCCTCTCGCCCCTCTCAGACAGAAACAGGAAGCTGGGTCCCCAGGCAGGGGGCAAGGCTTGCAGCCAAGCTAGATCCTCAGCCCTTCTAGGTCCAAACTCTACTCTTCATGGTTTGCAACACAACTTATCAGGAAAACCCGAGAGATAACTGGTAGCCTCAGCACTGGACCAGCCAGCCTACCACCTATCCAAGTCATCATTGGCCTAGCTGGCACTGATCACTCTGACCTCGATGGGCTAGGCTAGCCGGATCCCATCAGATTTTGGAAGCTAAGGCAGGGTCGGCCCTGGCTAACATTTGGATGGGAGGCCTCCAAGGAATACCAGGGTTGTGATGCAGAGGCAGGCAATGGCATACCACCCTGTTTGTCTCTTGCCTTGAAAAAGCCACGAGAGGTCACCATACGTCAGCTGTGACTTGACAGCCCTTTTATACACACTGGCAGTTACCAAAATGGATCCTACCCTGGGTGCTTTGCATGGGATAAGGATGCCTACTTATGCTAGTGGTGCACCAGAAGACCTTCTGTTGCCATGCGGCTCAAAATAAATAAATACAGATGGAGTCACTGCCTGCAGGGGAGGGGAGGGGAGAGGAGGGGAGGGCCCACCCACAATTACCGAGGAGGAGTCGCTACCTGCAGGGGAGGCCACCCACAAAGCCTGATATGGTGGGGACTGATCATGATGGAGGAGGAGGAGGAGGAGGAGGAGGAGGAGGAGTGGATTTATACCCCGCCCTTCACTCGGCGTCCCAGAGTGGCTTACAATCTCCTCCTTCCCCTCCCCACAACAGACACCCTGTGAGGTGGGTGGGGCTGAGAGAGCTCTGACACAAACTGCTCTTTTTCAAGGACAGCTGTGCCAGAGCTTGTGACTGACCCAAGGTCACATCAGCAGGTGCAAGTGGAGGAGCGGGGAATCAAACCCGGTTCTCCCAGATTAAGAGTCCGCACACTTAACCACTACACCAAACTGATCAGTGGTGCATGCCGTAAACTTGAGCAAGAGCAATGCTGTGCACCTTTATACCTTACACCTATGTTACTAAGGTAAAGGTAAAGGTTCCCTTGCTCAAAAGCCAGTCGAGTCCGACTCTAGGGTTGCAGTGCTCATCTCCGTTTCAAAGCGAAGAGCCAGCGCTATCCGAAGACATTTCCGTGGTCATGTGGCCGGCATGACTAAACACCAAGGTGCACGGAACGCTGTTACCTTCCCACCAAAGTGGTACCTATTTATCTACTTGCAATTTCCTGCTTTCGAACTGCTAGGTTGGCTTAGTTGTTACTAAGGCCAGGGTCCGACCTACCTGAGGGACCGCCTTTCCCCATACATACCCCCAAGAGCACTTCGGTCGGGGACGCAACATCGCCTGGTGATTCCAGGCCCCCGGGAGGTAAAGCTTGCTGCGACCAGGGCCAGATCTTTTTCAGTAGCAGCCCCCACCTGGTGGAACGAGCTCCCGGAGGAGATCAGGGCTCTGCGGGACCTTATGCAGTTCCGCAGGGCCTGCAAGACGGAGCTCTTCCACCAGGCTTTTACATAGGGGTCGCCACTTCTACTACTACCACCACTGAAACAATGGGGTTGGGAGTGGTCCCCGGAAGAACGGCCATAAATTTGCATGGCACTGATGCCGCTGGACTGGCTTGGGCCATTGACAGGACAGTTTCACCCAGGGCAATGATTGCTACCATCCTCAGAGACCATCCTGTCTGCAGGGAGCACTTTATCTGTTGTTGTGATTTAATGGTTTTACTGTTTTATATTGTTTTATGTATGGGCTTATGCCCCTGTGTGAGCCGCCCTGAGCCTGTTCGCGGGGAGGGCGGGGTAAAAATGCAAATAAATAAATAAATAAAAATAAGGCTGAACATAAAAACCATCTTTCTAGATTGGACCTTGATCCGTCTCCTGCACCATCCAGTTTCCAAATGGAGCCAACCAGGAAGCTTGCAGGCAGGCTCTGAAGGTTAAGTGGCCATCTCCTGTTGCTCATACAAACACAGAGGTATACTCTGAATGCAGAGGTTCCATTTAACTATCACAGCTGAGAGATATTGCTGTTCCTCCAGGAGTCTGACTAATGCCTTCGAGGCCATTTAAAACAGGGACTATCACCAAATCTTTGTGGCGCTACATTCCCGAAAATTAGTTATGCATCATGCAAAGTCTTCACTTTGCCTGGTAATTAAGTAAGCCCGACTTCTCACGCTGAGTGACAGAAATCGTTCCTCCACACCACACCAGTCGTGATTTTATAAGCCTTTATTAAACTCCTAAATCATGTTTTTCTCCCCAAATTTTTCTACCTTTTCTCCTTTATATCACCATCTCAGCTGTTCTTTTCTGCATCTTTTCAATCTTTATGATAGCCTATGGAAATGGGGCAACTATAACTGTATTCATGGATTTATATTAGTATTATAATAGTGGGCACTTTATTTTCATTCCCTTTCCTAATAATTCATGCATTCAAATGCCTTTTTTCATTGTGTTGAGGTGATATTTTCAGTGAATGGTCTAGCCTGACCTCCAAATTTCTTCACCTGGGTTGGATCAGATCAACATTTGTTTATTTAATTAATTTATGCCCAGCCTTTCTTCCCAGTAGGGAACCAAGACAGTGTATATCATTCTCCTCTCCTCCATTTTATCCTCACAACAACCCTGTGAGGTAGGTTAGGCTGAGCAAGCTTCCACAGGACAAGTAGAGATTCGAACCTGGGTCTCCCAGATACTAGCCAACACTCTTAACCACTACCCTACAACATATCACTTTGCACTTGACTTAAATGTCAGCACCCAGTTTAGAAAGATACTTCATCACGGTATGCTTTGGAGTTCACCATCCTGAATAATTTCACGTCACCCACAAAGTCCAGGTGCCTCACTGTTTACCAGGTACAAAAGGCACCAATCCCAGCACAGGTATTTGCAGGACTGTAGTGCTAACTTATCCCTGTTTCCCGGTTTGCTTTTTAAAGTTGCTGATTCATAAACAGACCACGTTTTTAACCAATGTCTGCCAAGCTTCCTTAGCAGGCTTTCGCAATGGACTTTGTCAAAAACATTGTGAAAGACTGTATGTATTTGCTAACAGCTTCCATGGTTTCTAAAAAAAAACTGGTGAGGCAGGACTTGTCTTAATGGAAGAATTGTTTGCCCCTTTCCTCAGCAAGGCTTGTTCTTTGATAAAGGAAAGAGTTCTAGGCTTACTCCCAGAGCGGGCGCCTCGTCTGGTCCTGGCCAGGTGCGCCTGGCTGTGCTCCTGCGCACCCACATGCTACACCTTCGTGGCCAGCCCAGCCACCACACACGTCGCCTCTCCTAGCCTCAGGAGGGAGCCAAGAATGTAGGTCAGCCTGCCCCTGGTGTGGCTGCCCTTGCTGGGGAGGAGGGAAGCTCCCCCGATTTAATTAGCTGACACCCCCCCCCCAGGCCCCCTCACCAAAAAATCCCTAGCTACGGGGCTGTACCACACTGGTTCAACTTACAAAATATGTTGTTTGCAGCAAGAAAGCCAGTGACGGGTCATCGTTACCACCCCTATCTTCCAATTTTGTGGATGATTACAGAATTTCTTATATTTACATAAGCAGGCTCCACAATCAACTTACAACTTACCTCCTCTCCTTTCCATACCAGTGCCCACTGCATGCCATTTCAAAGTGAGCACTGTATGCTGGGCACACCCCACAAAGGTTTTCAGCCTCTCACAGCCTCAAAACAATACAGCGAGCTTTCTAGAAAGGTGGTCCTGCCTGCACTTGGCCCAGAAGGTCAACTCTCAGAGCACAGCTAATTCTATAGGGCCACCACCAAAAAGGCCCAAGCTCTAATAGATCTCATCCTGATAGGAAGGGACTTTGCACCAGAGACAGCAAAGGAATTTCCTTATTAACAACTCAGAGCCAGAGGCCAACTGAACAGGGATGGGCAGGGGGCTGGGAATAGTTCCATACGTGCACATGGAAACAGAACAAAGTCGACACCAGACAAAACCTGGACTTCTATTGGAGATGGTAGAAAGTGTTGTCACGTTGCAGACAACTTACAGGGACCCCGTTGGGTTTTCAAGGCAAGAGATGTTCAGAGGTGGCTTGCCATTGTCTGCCTCTGCAAGCAACCCTTGACTTCCCTGGTGGTCTCCCATCCAAATACTAACCAGGGCTGACCCTGCTTAGCTTCCAAGATCTGACAAGATCAGGCTAGCCTGGGCCATCCAGATCCAGGTGAGCTTCCAGTACTCCATTCAAAATCTCTATCCACTTTTATTGTCTATGGATGCTAAGCTGCTTCTCCCTGTTTCTACAGTGATTCCTTTGCATCAGAAAGTGGTGCGAAAACCAGTGCCACTTTAGAAGTGAAGTAACTATCAACCCCTGTATTAGGTCTGTATCTTCCTGGTGGCACTCAGCCAAGTAAGAATTCCACAGGCTGAGCTACTGAATCCTGGCAAGCCATCAATGCATTTTCTGGCTAATACTCTGCAGTGATCTGGAAGTTAGGTGGAGGGAGGAGATTTATGAGCTCCTGGCCTTAGAATGAAGGGGAAGCCAATTCCCTTCTCTTGAAGGTCAGAGTCCCTGCCCCCACCTCCCTCCTAGAAAGCCAAGAGGGCTCAGTTTCGTATTTACTGGATCGGCATGAGAGGCGTTTGCCCCACCCTTGGGTCTTGCAGGCCACCTGCCCACATCACAGGTTCCCAGACTCCAGCTTGAGAAACCTTGACTTACAAGCAATTAAAAGGCCATCTCAGAGAAGCATGCAGAGGAAGTGTATGGCAAGTTGGGAAGGGAAGTTTGCTGCTCCCAGAACTTCCTGTATTTCGTGTTGACACGGCAATAACTTGCTTGAATGGTTTATTCCTTCTTGGGCATTGGCTGGCACACTAGGAATGCCTTTCTCCAAGCTACTTTGGCCATGTTAGAGTAAAACGAGGCTAACTGAAGACCTGAGGAAGTTTTGAGTCCGGTGGCACTTTAATGACCAGCAAGATTTCCAGGGTATAAGTTTTCAAGAGTCATATAGAACCATAGAGTTGGAAGAGGCCACACAGACCATCTAGTCTAACCCCCCCCCCCCCCCAATGCAAAGCTCCTTCTGTCAGAGACCCTTCAGTCTTTGAAGCTTATATCATGAATGAAACCTTGTTGGACTTTTAAGATGCTTCTGGACTTGCATCTTGCTCTCCTTCTACAGACCAAGACAGCTACCCACCAAAAATTAACAGAAGACCAGTCACCTTCGCCAAAGGTGCTTTCTACCCACAACCAAAATGGAGGCCTTAAGAAACAGGGCAGATGTCCAGCACTGGGGCCCTGGACATGACCAATAACATGCAACACAGCTGCAAGCTATATAAACATTTCCTTTGCCCAGCCTTCCCCCCCCCCACCCCGCCCCGACACACACGCTCCAACTCACCAGCAATACGAATTTCTGGTCTATGTAGCGCTTGGCAACCGAGGGTTGGAAGTCCGGGCTCTCGAGGAACCGGAGGAAAAACTCATAAACAAGCTGAGAAGAGACAGGCAGAGCTGAGAACCACGTACTCCTTTTCCTGGCCACCGGTGCAATGCACAGACTAAAGGCACACCAACTTTAGAATGGGAGGAGCTGGAGAAGGAGGCCATCATCCCGTTTCTGCCTCTCAGGCAAGACCACCCCATCCAGGTTAGCGCCACCCTCCTGTCAGATTCCCCAGTACCTGAGAACTCACAGAGAGGTCTCACCTGTAGATGTGGCCAAGAGGGCTCCAAGTTGGGTTCGTCTTCTTCAGGGTCAAACTCAGGGTTCTCACTGGGCGGGAGTGTCCGGAAGATATTGACAGAGATCTAGGGGTGGTGGAGAAATAAGCCGTGTTAAGAGGTCCCCATACTTTTATCTCTTCATCTGGTTTTTGAGTCTTAATAAGGCGAAACATCCCTCTGCAGTCCAAAAACCTAGGAATGGGCACTTGGGGGTTAGACCAGCCACCAGCCAGATGTTTCAGGGAAGCCCAGAAACAGGCCTTCAGCACTTTACCCCACAACATCTGGTAGACAGATGTGTACATTGCCTCCAGAAACAGTAGTTTCCCTTCCCAACTATCATGGGCAATTAACTTTCAACCCTAAAGCATTTCCTCTCTGTTCTTTCTCAGTGTCAGTGGGTGAATCCAAGTTCAGAGTTATAGGGACCATTTCTCCTTTTGCACCAGTTGTCCTAATCAGCAGTCAAGGCCCTGGCCGAGTCCTTCCAGCTCCCAGCCCTTCTGCAGAACTCAGGTTACCCAATACAATTGACAAGGCAACAGATTCAGGACAGACAAAAAAAGAAAGTACTTCTTTACTCAATAAGTGATTAAATTCTAGAACTCACTGCCACTGGATGTAGTGTTGGGCAAAAGCATGGATAGTTTTAAAAGTCAGTCAGACAGATTCATGGAGGATAGGTCCATCTATCGCTACTAGCCACGGTAACTAAAGGGAACCCTCCCCATAATCAGAAGAAGCAAACCTCTAAATACCAGTGCTAGGAAGCAACATCAGGAGGCGGCCTTGGCCTCTTTGCTGGCCCTCCAGATCCAGAGTAGCTGGTGTGAAACAGGATACTGGACTAGATGGACCACTGGCCTGAGCTAGCAAGAGTTTTTCATATGTTGCTTTAACTGAGCATCCTTTCCCACCACCCCCACCCCCGGGGTCCACCTGCCCTCCCTCACCATCTTGATGATCTCGGGGTAGAGCGGCTCAATGAGAATGCCACGGTTTGTGGCCACGCACTCCACCAGTTCGTTGAGGGCTGCTCGCTTGATCTCCTTGCCCTTCAGGTCGGCCACACAATCCAGGAAGTCGAAGAGGATGGAGCATTGTTGGAGCTTCTTGCACAGAAGATCATGCAGCTCCGAAACGGGCGCTTCTGCAGGGGAGGAGGAGGAGGAGGAAGGATTCACAAGGATCAGTTCTGACGCAAGAGATGGGAAAATCCTTCTCCAAGACCCAGGTGCAGAGCCACTGCGTACCGTCTGCCTTATTTACTCAACATGGTTCAGCGTTGAGTGCTGACATTTGAAACAAATCCCAGAGCTGAACTGCAGGCATCTCTTCACAAAAATGAACGCACAGAGGCAAGGGATGGGCAGATCCCAGACTTTCCCTGTATTCTTCATGGACACACAAAGCTGCCTTATACTGAATCAGACCCTTGGTCCATCAAAGTCAGTATCTACTCAGACTGGCAGGGGGCTCTCCAGGGGCTAAGGCAGAGGTCAGAGCCAGTTTGGTTAAAAAAATAATAATAATCTGGGAGAACTTGGTTTGATTCCACACTCCTCCACATGCAGCTGCTGGCGTGACCATGGGTCAGTTACAAGATCTTTCTGAGCTGTTCTCTCTCCAGCAGTTCTCAAAAGAGCTCTCTCAGCCCCACCTACCTCACAGGGTGTCTGTTGTGGGGAGGGGAAGGGAAAGGAGACAGTAAGCCACTCTGAGACTCCTTCAGGTAGTGAAAGGCGGGGTATAAATCCAATCTCCTCTTCTTCTTTCACATCACCTACTACCTCATCCTGTAGAATGGAGATGCTGGTGATTGAACCTGGGACCTTCTGCATGCCAAGCAGATGCTCTGAAATGCAGCTTTCATCCTTCCTACTTCTTGAAAGACTCCTTGGGATTATGGGTGCAGTATAGACCCCTGGGCTAAAGTGAACATGACAGACAGCCCAAGCTAATCCTGCATAGCATGCAACTGACTAGCAGCTTGCTTAAAACTGACTAGCAGCATGCTTAATGCCTTTAATCTATAATGGCTCTGGATGTCTCGGACAGGGCTATGGCAGTTCGCAGCACAACACAACACTGGGAATCAGGAAGATGTGAGGCCTGAGTGCACAGGAGAAAGCAGGACGACGTTCTCTGGCCCAGAACTGAAAGACAATCCCAGCATTAAAAGGGTGCAGCAGCCCCATCTCCAGGAGACTTGGAAGAGGCCAGTTACTGCAAATGCATGCAGCTAATTGTGGTAAGGCACACCATGCCAAAGAGATGCCCAGGAGATGGAGTGAGGGGATGGGCATTTCAAAAGGGATGGTGGCCATTTCTGGGGCTGAGCCCTGGCACTTAATTTCCATCCACAAAACTAGCTCGCATCCACTCTGTAGTGCCTGCAGTCTTTGCAAACTGTGGCACCTGTCAGAGATCTATCATTAGCGACCGCCACGGAGATCTAAGGGCTCTGGGAGAACAGGCAAGCTTCCCTCCATCAACATTCATGTCGGCTCTGACCATCACGGAGGGTTGTAGAAGGGTGTGGCACAGGGGCAGAACATCTGCTAGGAATGCAGGTTCCGTCTCAGGCATCCCTACGTAAAAGGACCAAGTAGCAGGTGATGTGAATTTTTTTTTTTTACTGGAGACCCTGAAAAGACACTGTCAGTCTGAGCAGACACTGCTGACCCAAGGGTATGACTCCGTATAAGACAGGTCCGTGACTTATGCTTATGACCTTATGATTTATGACACGGGGAGCCCTGGATAACACAGGCTAGCCCGATCTTGTCAGATCTCGGAAGCTAAGCAGGGTCAGCCCTGGCCTGCATTTGGATGCGCAGCCTCCAAGGAATACCAGGGTTGTGACTCAGAGGCAGGCAATGGCAAACCACCTTTGAATGTCTCTTGCCTTGAAGAACCTACGGGGTCATCATAAGTCAGCTGTGTCCTGACGGCACTCTCTGGCACTCCCCCCCAACACCCACCCCAACACATACCAATGAAAGATCACCAGAGCAGGGGGCAAACCAAGGTCTTTCCCAACAGAGAGGTGTGTGTCCAATACAGCGTAAGCCTAACAGGGCTGTTTGTGACGGGTAAAACCTAAAGCCAGCATGGTTTAGCAGTCAGCATTTGGATCTGGTTCATCTCTCATGAAACTCCCAGGATGACTCTGGGTCACTCTCTCTCAACTTCACCTACGTCCCCAGGGTGGCTGTGAGAATGAAATGGAGGAGGAGAGAATCACGTACACTGGCTGGAGCTCCTGCGAGAAAGGCCAGGCTCCAAACATGGTAGATCCGGCAGCCACACGTTCAGGGCGATGGGACGGAGAACATGAAGGCTGACGGCTACCAGAAGGGCAAAGAACGGAGAACTGAAAGCTGCAGCTGTTGAAAAGTTGTGACTTGAGAACGGCAGCACCGGTTACAGCCATGCAAAAGCCATGTTGCCGTCTCCTCCTTCATGCCCCTTGGGGCAGGAAGCAGCGGCGGGTATCCCCCTTGGAACTGTAACCATGGCAGCACTGGGGCCAGACAGTCATATCTGGAGGCAAAGATGAACAAGCCCACAGTTCTGGGAGCAGCAAAGGTGCGGTAGCTGCACCGCTGGCTTCATATATGGCACACACCCTGCTCCCGATTCCTGCCTCCCCTGTTTTTAAGCCTGGAAAGATGGCAGAAGGGGAAGGGAACGTCCCAGAGTCTGAGAACCATTTCTAAATTGAACAGGAGCCTCCAAGGAGAGCCCAGGAGAGTCATTCCTCCCATCCTGAAAGGATGCCCGGCATTTGGGTGGCCACACTTTGCTCCTTACCTATTTTTAAACCTCTGGGGTTTAAATAGCTTCTTATTGCATTCAGTCATCATCAGGCCCTGGCTATGTCCCTTCGACTAGGGCAACGGTGGCTAACAACAGACAGACCCACTTCCCCCACTGCTGAGAAATCCACAGAAATGTCACTGTGTGGACTACACAAAACAGATCAAAGTGCTGAAACTGCACTTGTGCAGTTGGGAGGGAAACAGCACTCAGCCCCCTAGATCAGGATGCTGCAGCCCCACAGAAAAGACTCCCAGGAGGGCAATTCTCTGTATGGGCAAGAAGGCTGGCTAAGCCTAGAAGCTCTGGCCCCAGCTGTTCTCCCACCCAAGGGAGGACCACTCAGCTTTGTGGAGTTAAGAAGCTACTGGTGCGAGAAAGTGCTGTCAAGTCACAGCCAACTTATGCCAACCCCTTAGGGTTTTCAAGGCAGGAGACGAACAGAGGTGGCTTGCCATTGCAAATCACTGCACAGAGACCCTGGACTTCCTTGGTGGTCTCCCATCCAAACACTAACCAGGGCCAACCCTGCTTAGCTTCTGAAACCTGACAAGACTGCACTAGCCAGGGCCATCCAGATCAAGACAACAACAGCTACTCAGGGCTTCTCCACACCGTTGTTGTTTTTTTTGCTCCAGCTTGGCTTCTGAAGTGCTTTGGTTTTCCCACTCCCTTAGCACACAGTACGCTTTGGTAGCTCCCAAGTTTTTCCGGTATTTTTTCAGATCACTTTTGTGATGGTCTGAAAAAACATGGGGGAAAGCTTAAAAAAAAAAAAAACCCAAAAAACAACACATACCAAACAAATGGGAGAGGAAGGACCAGGCAAAGGATACTGTGTGAAAGGGAAGGGGGTGGAAACAGTGCAGTTAAGAAGCCACACTGGAGCAAAAACTCAAAGTTGGAAAAGCTCTCAGTGGCAGACTGACTCCCAAATGTACTTCTGGAAGAGCACAGTAATAGAACCAAGAGGATCAAAGCTCCTGTCAAAAGCAAAGACCAGGAGCAGGGATAGAAAGGTGATTTACCTTTCTGGCTGGGCCCAACAGCCCAACTAAGGGTCCCAAGCTTCCTCTAAGCTGAGTTAGTGTGAGCTAGCTCACAGTTTTTTAGCCTCCAGCTCACATATTTTTGTCTTAGCTCAGGAAGGATGGCTCCAGAGCAAACTGATTTATGCGGTCGCCAAATCGCTCGCTCACAACTTTAATGCCAGTAGCTCACAAAGGAGAATTTTTGCTCACAGGACTCCACAGCTTAGAGGGAGCATCAACTCCAGAGCTGCAGAAGTGAGGGTTGAAGGGTAAATTCCAAAGAGCCATCTTCCCATCTCAAGGCAATATCCAAGCAGGATAACGCAGCTTCACAAGGAAGCAATCTGGCTGTTGCTAAATCTGCAGCTGATGAGACTGATGCCTGCATCATGCACAAGCTTTGACAGGCAGATGCCTACGTCTACATCTAGCCTAAGGATATTCATGACTCAGTGCATGTCTTGCATTTTATGTATTGCTTTTTTGCTCAGCTCCGAGCTACAGCTTTTGAGTGAGACTGGCTAGGCTGACAGCGAGAGCGTGATAAGCTCAGCTCTGACCCTAAGTTCTCCATGCTCAAGAGCAACCATTTCACTCTTTCAGGATACTGCAGGCTGGCAATTTCGCACCGTAACTAATTTCAGTGGAAACAGTAGGGCACGATCTGTGGAAATTAAAAGCGCGCCTATCAATTGCTCCGTGGTACACCTGCACGTCTAATGGATGCTGGTTCAGTCACCAGCATCTCTGGTTAAAAGGAACTCAAGTAGCAGAGCAGGGAAGACTTGGTCACAGCCCAGGTCGCTGAGAGGTTCTGCCAGTCAGTACTCTGCCCAGATGGACCAGCAGTCTCCCTCGGTAGGAATGATCTTTTCTGAATGCATGTGGCTCAGGAATCCAAGACCTAGTGGAAGCTAAAACCCATTTAGTGGCCAAAACCATGGTCCTTTTCCTCGCAGGTGGAAATTATGGCCTTGGAGGTGACCTTGCCTGGCTCCAAGCTTTGGGCCTTCTGGAACGGGGGTCCCCAAACCTGCTTATTTCCATTTTACAGAACTGTCCAGATTACCTATACCATGGAAGGGGAGGAGAAGAAAATCCACAGTTGCTCCCAATCTGTCACAGTGACATAATCAAAGGATGCACCTGTAAAAAGGTAAGAAGGATATTTGGGAGGAAGAGGGAGGGAAGTACTATGGTTACTGGCCCACGGTGAGGAGAGTGCCTGTAGCTCACTGGTAGAGCATCTCCTTGGCATACACAAGGTCCTAAGTTTGGTCCTCAGCTGGAGCCTGGGTTCTTAACCTGGGGGGCAAATGGTCCAAGGAAAGACACTGTTGCTCAGTGGGAGAGCATCTGCATGGCACGCAGAAGGTCCCAGGTTCAATCCTCAGCATCTGCAGTTAAAAAGGACCAGGTGGTAGGCAGTGTTCCCTCTAAGCTGAGCTAGTGTGAGCTAGCTCACAGTTTTTTAGCCTCCGGCTCACACATTTTTGTCTTAGCTCAGGAAGGATGGCTCCAGAGCAAACTAATTGATGCAGTGGCCAAATTGCTCGCTCACAACTCTAATGCCAGTAGCTCACAAAGTGGAATTTTGGCTCACAAGACTCCACAGCTTAGAGGGAGCATTAGTGGTAGGTGATGTGAAAGATGTCTGCAGCCAGTCTGTGTAGAAAAGACTGACCTTGATGGACCAACAGTCTGATTCAGTATAGGGCAATTTCATACGCTCATGGGAAAAGTAGCCTTAGCACCTACTGGCCTTTAGAACACTCTTGAGCTACCTTAGCAAAAGGTACTGGAAAGGACTTTAAGAGCCCCTTGTCTTTAAAGTGTGAGGCTGAAGAGACTGCATACACTACAGCTCAGCTATTGGTCCACTCCCTGAGAGAGTCAGCAACAGGCCAAAAAAAGCAGCTCAGAGCCCAGACTCAGGCATCGGAGCCCTTGGCTCTCCCAAGGCCTCCCAGAGGCACAGGACTCCTGCGTGCACGTCCCTCTTCTCAGGGCAAGAGGAGCAACTGCAAGTGCTGAAGGAACCTGGCCCAGCCCTTCCATCCTCATACCTGGGCCTTACCTTTCAACAAAGGCAGAGGCGTGAGCTCCTGCTGGTTGCTCTGGTACCGGAACTGGGAGGAACTGTGAGACCGCCTCTGGCGGGAGCGACGCAGGGAGCGCCGGGAGAAGCCATCCACTTTATCTGGCGGTGGCACCGGGGACAGCCCCGGGGACGAGGGGCTGGTGGGGGTGACGGCGGGTGGTATCTTGGTGTCCATCCTGGTAGCATGCAAGGGTCCGTGCTGCAGGCTGAGCCAAGAGGATGTCCGGTACAGGCAGCCCCCTTAACACCCTGGCGTCGTTGCCGGCCTCTTCTCAGGCCACGACATCTGCCCCATGACAGGAGCCCGGGGCCTTGTGTACTTGTCCCTCCAACGTGGCCTGTGCCCAGCTCCAGAGAACCCCCACGTCGATGCCCTTGAGCCCAGGTGGCACCAGGATTACATCCAGCCCAGTCCTTGGCCTGCTGGGCCCCCCATGCAGGCTACTCCTGGCACAGGCAAGCAGAAGAGCCGGATCCTGGTTGCGGTTTCTTCTTCAGGGAAGACCCACTGGAAAACAGGTGCATGGAGGACGGAATCGCCAGCCTCCCAGAAGCACGGTACGTCCAGTTCCGCTTGTCCCAGTCAAAGGTCACCCAGAGGCTGGGCTGTTGGCAGCTTGGCACCAGAGAGGGAGCCGGCTGCTCCCGCGGCCTCTCCCAGCAGCAGCCCCTCCCAAGCCGGGACCTTCCCTCTCCAGCTGCCGCCCGCCGGGTTGCCCCTCCACCATCAGCCTCCAAAACGGGGGAGCCCTCCCCCCAACTTCGCCAGCAGGGCGGGGAAGCAACAGCGAGCGCGACTCAGTCCTTGCAAAGTCCGCGGAAGGCTGGGACCGGCCAACCTGTGCGCCCCCCGGCTTGAAGGGCGCTCTTAGCAGCCCCCCCCCCCCCCCGAGTCTCGAGAGGCCTCCTAGCAGCAACGGCTCACGCTCGGCCGCCGGGGCAGGGGGCTCGCTGCGCAGGAGCCATGCCGGAGGCAAGCGGGTGGCCGGGGCCTGGCAGCACCGCCATGGGGCACGAAGGGCAACGCCGCGCGGGAAGCCGTCTCCTTGGCGCCCAGCAGTAGGCCGACTCAGGGCGCCGCCGCAGGTGCCAGCAGGTGCATCGCTCGCAGCGAACAGCAGCAAGAGCCAGGCCCCTCCTTCTGCTCTCCTCCGTCTTCTGCTCCTTTCCCTAGCTTGCTGTAGCTGCTGCTGCTGCTCCCGCCGCCGCCCGTGCACCGCAGCGCATGCAGGGCAAAGCGCCTGTGCAGCCCCGTCCCTCACGCGCGTACACACAAACACACGCGCGCCTCTCCCCGCGCAAGGCCCAGCCCCGGCAGCGCGCGCCTCCCTTTGATACGCCTGTCATTAGGCTGACACTAAGTAACCTTCCAGACCCACGTGACCGCCACACCAGCCCTCCCATTGGCCCCTTAAAAATAGAACCTGCGTCATTCGCCATAGGATGATGTCATCTGCGCTGGCCATTGGAGCCGCGGAAGGGGGGGGCGCTCCTCTCTCTCTCTCGGCGTCCAGTTGCCCTCTGGACGCTGCTTGGTCTTCTTCCTGCAGTTTTGCGGCGCCGGTCACGACGCCGCGGCCATCCCATCCCTATCCAGCCCTCGTCGTCAATTGTGCTTTTTACCTGAATTGCGTGTCTTAGTACTCTGATGCTTCTGCAGGTGGGCAGCTCCCTGGAACACCTTGCCGGGGCCCTTGATCGTCTGAATGGATTCGAGGCATACAGGTTTAACACGAGTGACACTGAAGCTGACTTTAAGGACTAGCCATAAAGTGACTGTCCTCTCAGTAGTTTGCAACCAGATCCCATCCCTCCTTTCCCTGTGACATGTCTTTTTCATTTTAATTTGCAAGCCAGGATTCGGGGTTCGTTGTCAGAATAAGAAACTGGCCATTCATCACTTATACATTAGTTTTGGTGCTATCCGACTTTTTCACGTGGGGCCGGAGGAAACTAGTTTTCACAGCAGCCCTGTGTGACACTGTTCTTCTTACCCAGCGTCAAATGGGATTTATTTAACCAAAACCGTCCAGCGATACAGGTGGGATATGAACTTGTTTTCAAGTGCAAGTCCTGATGACGGGCTCTGGCTTTTACGAAGAACTATGCCTTGTGAACTTGGTGAACTTGACTGTGACGGAAATGGGCCAAAGTCTGTGAAATAACGACTATGTCCCTGTAACCTCAACTGAACACAACAACTCTAGAGCGTCAGCTAGACCGCAAAGCCTAGAAAGTCCTCATGCCGGGGGAGAGAAGCGGGGTAGCCCACAGTGCAGTGATTCGGAGGGGGGGGGTGACAGGGTTCAGTACTTCTACAAGCAGCTCTTTTGCTGAGGTTTAATTGAACACTCACCCTTGACTCATCCTGCTGATTGCTGGAGTAGAACTATTCGATAGACTTCGAGGCCCAATAAAGGGTTAAAATAGCGGCATGTTCAGTTGCATCATGGGAGTTGTAGGCCGAATATGGGTCACGTGCGTATGTTTTTTGCTCCGCTTCGGAGGCGGCTGTTGCCCTGATGTAATGCTGTAAAGAACCAGGCAAGAAATGCTGTTTGCCTGTTGTTGCATGCGTCTCAGAAGCCACGGCATATACAAACTGTTGCTATTCCAAGCCAACTGCGTATTGGTGGGCGTGTACCGGTCCACTTGCTGGTTGCAGACAATTCTGAAAGCGCGCAGGGAAAAGTCTGAGATTAGTGAGATACTTCTGAGGCTAGAATACAATTATGCAGGGTAAGTGGCTTATTCAGAGAGCACATTTGAGAGGGAAGGTACTCAATGGCTGTGGCTCATAGTTCTTTGCCACCTTACACAAGTAGTACAGTAGATCCTTGGCTTTTATTGGCCTTGTCCCATCACAGGTCAGGGTTTGCGCTAGGTTAATGATACTCACTCCATTACTCTCTTTGATGTACCAACTGTGGCTCTTCTGAGTACTGATCCCTGTGACACCTGCCCCACATTCCAGGAAAGTGGGTAATTTGTTACTGTGGGCCCAAGATAAAACTATTTGAGGGATGCCAGCCTCCAGGTGGGACCTGGGGATCCCCAGGAATTACAGCTTATCTCCAGACCAGTGTTCCCTCTAAACTGGCTAAGTTCAGGAAGGATGGCTTCCTAAGGATGACTTGGCTCAGGAAGGATGGCAAACTAATTTATGCAGTAGCCAAATTGCTCACTCACAACTTTAATGCCAGCAGCTCACAAAGTAGAATTTTTGCTCAAAAGACTCCACAGCTTAGAGGGAGCATTGCTCCAGACCACTGTTCCCTCTAAGCTGTGGAGTCTTGTGAGCAAAAATCCTACTTGGTGAGCTACGGGCATTAAAGCTGTGAGCGAGTGATTTGGCTGCTGCATAGATTAGTATGCTTTGGAGCCAGCCTTCCTGAGCGAAGGCAAAAATGTGTGAGCCAGAGGCTAAAAAGCTATGAGCTAGCACACACTGACTCAGTTTAGAGGGAACACTGCTCCAGACTATGGAGATCAGTTCCCCTGGAGAAAATGGATGCTTTGGAGGGTGGACACTATGGCATTGTACCCCATTGAGTTCCCTGGTTTGCCAGATCCAAGTTGGGAAATTTTTTCTGCTGGAGATCTGGCAATGGAGCCTGGGGAGGACAGGGACCACTGTGGGGTACAATGTCAATAGAGTCCACCCTCCAAAACATCAGTTTTCTCCAGGGGAACTGATTTCTATAGTCTGCAGATGAGCTGTGATTCTGAGGGATCCCCAGGTCCCACCTGGAGGCTGGCATCCCTTTGCGAATGGGTCAACAGATGTCACAGAATGAAGTGGTGGGATGAGGCGTGCCACTGTTGAATGCTAGCCCATAAAACAAAACTCCCAGTAGTGCCCAAAGATGACCCTAGTTGCTCAAAGATACTCTGGGAATTTAGCAGGTTATATTATATGTTATTGTTTGTGCATGACTGAGGTGGCGCAGAGGGCGAACGGTAATCTTGGGTGTCTTTTGGTTGATAGGAATAGCCAATGTGGTTCTCCGCGATCTGCAGACAGAGTACCACTGCTCTCTAGGACATTTTATGGCTGCTTCCTGAAGGCCCAGGGTCCAGGACAAGTTTCCTTCCTAGAGTCCACAGTCCCTTACAATAAGGACACGCTCCTTTAGAATGCACTGGGTTCCTTCTAAGTTTCCCATTACAGATTTCTGCAGTCCTCTTTCCC